TCCTAGTTACTCATAACACAAGCCAGGGGCATCCGCAGGCGCCACTCTCCCCAGCTCTGAATGGGAAGAGACAGGGCCACTGGGGATTGCTTGCTTGCTGTGTGGGTGACGCACTGGCCCCGGGTTCTAGAAGGGAGGGATGGGAGAAGAATGATGGAAGAAGTTACTGACACTCCCTTCTGACCTGCATACACACAGAGTAATAAATAATATAACTTTTAAAACAAAAGAGGGCAGAGTATATGTCTCATGGCATGAAAGCACTTGTTGGCTGGGCAGTGGTGGCGGATTTCAAGGCCAGCCTGGTCTACAGAGCCAGGACAGGCTCCAAAGCTACCCAGAGAAACCCTGTCTCGAAACACAAACTTAACAACCAAGTGCTGGTTGCTCAAGTCTGACTTCCTGGTCCAAACCCTGAAAGCCATGTAAAGGTGGGAGGGGAGGACTCACCGCAACAGCTGCCCTCTGACCTCCAGCTAAGGCCTGCAGACCCCCACAGGCACATCACAGAAACACACACACACACACACACACACACACACACACACACACACACGTTTAGAGATGAGGAAGACGCCTTTAATCCCAGCACTTGGGAGGCAGAGGCAGGTGGATCTCTGATTCAAAAAGACAGAGGGGGCAGTGACAGGCCCAGAGGGGCAAGAGGCAATGAGCATCGTACATGCATGCATGTGCACACACAAACACACATACATAGGTGGGACTTTGTAACTGGACCCCATAAGCTCATAGGGAGTGGCACTATTAGAAGGGGCCGTCTTGTTGGAGGACGGTGAGCTTTGAGGTTTCCTATGGTCAAGATGGCACCCAGGGTCTCAGTCCACTTCCTGTTACCTTCTGATCAGGATGGAGCCAGCACCACGTCTGCCTGCACGCCACCATGCTCCCTGATGTCATGATAGTGGACTGAACCTCTGAACTGTAAGTGAGCCAACCCAGTTAAGTGTTTTCCTTATAAGAGTTGCCATGGGGCTGGAGAGATGGCTAAGAGGTTAAGAGCACTGACTGCTCTTCCAGAGGTCCTGAGTTCAATTCCCAGCAACCACGTGGTGGCTCACAATCATCTGTAATGAGATCTGGTGCCCTCTTCTGACCTACAGGCATGCATGTAGGAAGAACACTGCATACATAATAAAAAAATAAATCTTCAAGATAAGCAAATAAAGGTTAAAATTCTTAAAAAAAAGAGTTACATGGTCATGGTGTCTCTTCACAGCAACAGAATCCCAAACTAAGACAACGTGTATACATATGTATACACATAGGCATACAGTGCATATGTATATACATACACATCTCTATATGCATGTGTGTATATGCATGTACACACATACACATAAATACACACATGTATTCATAGATACATATATAGATACATACCTATGCATAATATGTGCATATGTACCGGTTAGTTTTGTATCAACTTTACAAGCTAGAGTCATTAAAAAAGCAGGAGCCTCATTTTAGGAAAGGCCCCCAAGAGATCCAACTCAATTAGTGATCAGTGTAGGAGGGCCCAGCCCACTGTGGGTGGAGCCATCCCTGGGCTGCTGGTCCTGGGTTCTATAAGAAAGCAGCTGAGCAAAAAAAAAAAAAAAAAAGGTAAAAAAAGCCGGGCGGTGGTGGCGCACGCCTTTAATCCCAGCACTCGGGAGGCAGAGGCAGGTGGATCTCTGTGAGTTCGAGGCCGGGCTGGACCGATAGCCTCCAAAACAATACAGAGAAACCCTGTCTCGTAAAAACCAAAAAAAAAAAAAAAAAAAAAAAAAAAAGCAGCTGAGCAAGCCATGAGGAACAAACCAGTGAGCAGCTCCTCCATGGCCTCTGCATCAGCTCCTGCCTCCAGGGTCCTGCTGTGTGAGTCCCTGTCCTGACTTCCTCAGTGATGAACATGCATGCATATACATATACATATATACACATATGTATATACATGCATACATACATATATACACTTTTTTGGGATGGAACACAGGGCTTTTGCAGATTCTAGGCACGGACTTGCTACTGAGCTGCATTCCAGCTCTATTTTTGTTTTTATGGATTTATTTATGTATTTTTTGTTTTTTTTTTTTTTGAGACAGGGTTTCTCTGTGGCTTTTAAGGCTGTCCCGGAACTTGCTCTGTAGACTAGGCTGGCCTTGAACTCACAGAGATCTGCCTGTCTCTGCCTCCCGAGTGCTGGGATTAAAGGTGTGCACCACCAACGCCCAGCTGGATTTATTTTTTGAGACAGGGTCTCATTATGTAGCCCAACCTGGAGCTCTCTATGTAGCTCAGGCTGGTTTTAAACTCACAGAGATTCCCCTGCCTCTGCCACCAGAGTCGCATGTGCCACCATGCCAGGCTAAGATTTTACTTTATGTTTTTGTATCTCATTTATTTATTTTCATTTGAATTTATCTTTATTTTACTTGTGTTTTGTTTGTTTTGTTTTGTTTTCCGAGACAGGGTTTCTCTGCATAGCCCTGGATGTCCTGGAACTTGCCTTGTAGACCAGGTTAGTCCACCTGCCTCTGCCTCCGGAGTGCTGGGATTAAAAGCATTCACTATGATTGCCCCGCCACTTAATTTTTTTTTTTCGAGACAGGGTTTCTCTGTAGCTTTGGAGCATGTCCTGGAACTCGCTCAGTAGACCAGGCTGGTCTCAAACTCACAGAGATCCGCCTGCCTCTGCCTCCCGAGTGCTGGGATTAAAGGCGTGCGCCACCAACGCCCGGCTGTTTTTTTTTTTTAATTTATTTTTCAAATGGCATTTCATTATGTGGTCTAGAGAATTCATCTCCTCCTCCCTCAGCATTTTTCTTTTTAACATAGTCATATTTTGTTTTACCTGAGTGGGAAAGACGGAACCAAAGTCCTCAGGGATGTGTGGCAGGCCTTGACCACTGAACCACACCTCCACCCCTAATGAATATTTACTGAGTGCTAAGTACTGTTCCTTCTGCTGAATCGTGCTGTAAATAAAGTGCAGAAATACTGACGGTTTTCTGGGCTGGGGCATGCTTCAGCCATAAAGTATCTGCATAGAGTACCCCGGTGAGGGGTTGGGGCATGGTCAGGGGTGGAGCCCCATCTAGAATCTCCTGGTGAGACACTCATCCCCATCACTAACACCTCAGAGACACACACAGAGAATTCTTATATCCCAGTACTTGGAAGCCTGAGGCAGGGGGATGGTATGTTGGAGTCCTTCCTATGTTACATAGTGAGGTAGGGGGACAAGCAAGGCCAGCCGGGCGGTGGTGGTGCACGCCTTTAATCCCAGCACTCGGGAGGCAGAGGCAGGCGGATCTCTGTGAGTTCGAGGCCAGCCTGGTCTACAGAGAGAGTACCAGGACAGCCTCCAAAACAATACAGAGAAACCCTGTCTGGAAAAACCAAAAAAAAAAAAAAGTAATAAATACAAAAAGGATTACTGCTGTAGGGTATGGAGGCAAAGCCGTGTTTGTGCTCAGAACAACTGGTTATCAACCTCCTTAAACCACAGGAGACCAGATAGGTGAATTCATAGGCCCAAGGTCACACAGTTTAGGAAACCGACAGAGTTCAAATCAGGTGGCTTGGAGTTTCTCCCTCAGTCCTGAGAACCCCACGTGTGGATGCCCCCAGTTTCCCTCACTCCTAGGTGACCTCTGCAGGAAGACAACTCACTCCTCATGGAACATTCCACAGGGCAAGGCCTCCAAGGGGGCAGAGCTGAGCCCCACGGAGATAGCCTCTGCTGGCTGCCTCGGATCCAGGGAGACATGCCCCAGGCGCTCTATGGGGACCAGGTGATTAGGTGTATTGGGTCAAGAGTTGAATCTGAAGCCAGTATGGGAACTCACTTCAGTATTAAGAAGGCTGAGACAGGAGGATTGCTGGTTTCAGGCCAGCCTGAGCTACATACACCATGACTGTCTCAAAGCACCATTTTTTAAAAACAAGGCAACCAGACTTTTGCCACCATTTATCTGTCTGAGAAATGGGAACTGTTAACCCTCTGCAAACTTATTATTTGGGGGGTTTTGTGGATGTGTTTAGTTGGTTCTTTTGTTTTTTGAGACAGGGTTTCTCTGTGTATGCCAGGCTGTCCGGGAACTCACTTTGTACCCCAGGCTGGCCTGGAACTCACAGAGACACCCCTCACATACACACCCCACCCCGGCTCCCAGTTTATTTGCCTTTGATGTCATTAACTTAGACCAGCCTCAGATTTACTATAGCCTTGGACTCTGGATCCTCCTGCCCCCACCTCCTAAATTCTGGGGTGACAGTTATGTGCCATCATCAACTGTGATGCCAGGCGTGGGACCCAGGGCTTCCTGCCTGCCAGGCCAGCCAGCGCCTTTTCAACGGAGTCCAGCCCTGGCCCTTTGGAGGTTGTCCTGGAGCTCACTCTGTAGGCCTGCCTCTGCCTCCCGAGTGCTGGGATTAAAGGCGTGCGCTCCCAACACACCAATTTTTAAAGTGCTATTTTATCTTACATGCATGAACATTAGCCTCGGAGCCAGAAGGGGGAGTCCGGTTCCTAAAACCAGAGTTGTGGATGGCTGTGAGCCACCATGTGGGTGCTGGGAACTGAATCCATGACCTCTGGAGGAGCAGTGGTTTTTTTTTTTTTTTTTTACCTTGTCTTTGGAGACCAGATATCACTATGTAGCCCAGTCCAGCCTTAAACTCTGCATCTCCCTGCCTCTGCCTCTGAGATTTGGGGTGACAAGTGCCTCCACCACAGCTGGCTCTGTGGGTGCTGGGGCGGACCTCAGAGCTTTGTGTGGGTGTTAGAGGAGCACGCTATACGGCTCTAACCAGCCCTGATTGCCACAGTATTAAAGTAGTCACTCTCCTCCTGTCTTGCTCCTCAAGGGCCGGCTTGGGTGGCCTCCTCCCTGCTCACTGTCGCCCAGCCCGAACAGCACCGCCCCCCTCAGCCTCTGCCCAGGGCGGCCTCGGTGCCCTGCCACTGTGCACATCTGCCAGGCTCCTTGGTGCAACAGGGGAGCCGCCCAGCAGGTTTTTCCTCTCGGCTTGCTCAGGGGCCTTGAGCTGTTCTGTCCCCACCTAGCCTGGGCTGGGCATTGCGAGTCTCGCTCACTCAGCTGGCGCGCGTGCACCGGCACCGGAGCAAGGATGCCCAGCATCTTTGCCTACCAGAGCTCCGAGGTGGACTGGTGCGAGAGCAATTTCCAGCACTCGGAGTTGGTGGCTGAGTTCTACAACACGGTGAGGGCCTGCCTGGCCAGGGGCTCTGGGAAGGGTGAGATGCGGCAGGCTTACCGAATGTTGGATTAAGACACAGCTCCTCCACAGGGAGTCTTGTTGGAGCGGTTGGCTGTCTGCGTGTGTGTGGCCACTCAGATCAGCTTGTGTCCATTCATCTGTCTTCATGTAGAACTGTGATCAATGGTAGATTTTCAGACTCACTTCTGAGGAATGGTGCTGTGAGGGTGGGTGCACTGGCAGCCTTTGGGACTCCCAGAGGAGGCTCTTTGAGTTGGTGAGGTTGGACCCAGGCAGGCTTTCTGAGGGAAGTAAGGATGCCTGTCCTCTAGTCTGCAATCCCCCAGCCAAAGATGATTAATGTACCCCACTTTTCCCTTTCATTATCCTATTTGAACAACTCCAAATTTTACCTTCCTGTATCTGATGATGCACTACACCGGGAGTACTCAAGTCTCAGTACTTCATACACAGCGAGGGTGTCAGAGAAACTTGAAAGATGCAGGCAGGTAGAGGAGGCTGCTCCAGCTTGCTGTCACTGCCCGGAACACAGACACTTAGCCCGGTGAAGCATCTCCACATCCTTTTTCTGGAGACAGGTTCTGGAACATGCAGCCCAGGCTAGCTGCCATGCATGCCCTCCGGTGTTTGGACCCAGCGTGGAGCTGGGAGCCAGTACCCACCACACCCAACGCTAGCTTTTACTCAGTGCTTGCTGTGTGCACTTTGGACAGACCTTTCACCTCCTCAGTCTCGTGCGACCCACACAGGCTAATGGGGAGATGGGGAGAGGCCAATGGGAGGCGTCTCCCTGTGCGGCAGGTGCTCCCGGAGACCAAGAGAGGCTGAGAACTAGCCTCATACTTAAAGCTAGGTTTAAACTTCAGCTTGACAGATTCAAGATACACTTGTGTGTGTGTGTGTGTGTGTGTGCATGTGTGTCTGCGTGCATATGTGTGTCTCTGTGCATGTGTGTGTGCATGTGTGTCTGCGTGTCTGTGTGTGTATGTGTGCATATGTGTGTGTGTGTGTGTGTGTGTGTGTGTGTGTGTTTCCTTGCAACAAAAATGCAGGAAGGGTTGGTGAGATGACTGGGGGAAAGACGGTTTCAATCCCTGGGCTGACAAGCTGAAAGGAGAGAATCAACTCCTCAAAGTTGTCCTCAGACTTCTGTCCCACCTAGAATTCCCCAGTGAGGGCCTGGGGGCGTGGTCAAGGTGAAGCCCCACCTAGAATCTCCCAATGAGGGTCTGGGGGTGTGATCAGGGGTGGAGCCCCATCTAGAATCCCCAGTGCCAGACTGGGGGTGTGATCAGGGGTGGAGCCCCACCTAGAATCCCCAGTGCCGGACTGAGGGTGTGATCATGGGTGGAGCCCTACCTAGACTCTCCAGTGAGGGGCTGGGGGTGTGATCAGGGGTGGAGCCCCACCTAGACTCTTCAGTGATGGGCTGGGGGTGTGGTCAGGGGTGGAGCCCCACCTAGACTCCCCAGTGATGGCCCTATTTCTGTGTGGTCAGTCCGTGGTCCTCAGTTTCCATCTAGTTACTGGACCAGTTTGAAACTACCATGTGGCAGAGGCGGGAGAGGATTCGGTTTCTACAGTTACTCTTTCTGGTCCAGAAAACTCTGGTGGTCTCAGTCCGCTATGATGGGTCCTTATGAAAGGTCCCTAGAGTGTACTAAGTCAGGTTTGCTGGGCCTCCGCCTCTCATCCCCAAATGTCTATCGTGCGCCCTCTCAGCTGCCCGGAGTCAGGAGCAGAGCCTATCACACTGAAGGGTCACCACATAGCCCAGGAGAGAGAGACTGCACACCCTCAGCCACCGGGACATTTCTTTTTTTTTTTTTTGGTTTTTCGAGGCAGGGTTTCTCTGTGGCTTTGGAGGCTGTCCTGGAACTCGCTCTTGTAGACCAGGCTGGTCTCGAACTCACAGAGATCTGCCTGCCTCTGCCTCCCGAGTGCTGGGATTAAAGGTGTGCGCCACCAACGCCCGGCCCACCGGGACATTTCTATACGCTGTCCAGGTGCGTCACAGAATGAGCGTGAACCCATTCAGCTTTTGTTCTTGCATTTTGTTTGGGGCTCACTCTGTAGTCCAGGCTATCCTGAAGCTCGAGATCCACCCCACCCCACCCCACCTCCCAGATGCTATTGGAGGCACCTGCAGTCACACCTGATACATTGTTTTTACCCATGCATTGGTTCTCTGTGTGCAAACTCGCCTGTGCGGAGGTGGGAGGACCCGACCCGTACAGACCTAGCTGAGGAGAGTTTCTGGCTGTGTGAACCGGGTCTTTTTCCAGGGTTAATGTCCACTGCACTAGGGCAGAGAGCCTTGAGAGATATGTAAATCAGCCTGGATAAGGTTGTAAACCAAAAAAAAAACTTTATTTACAGAAGCCAGGTGTGGTGGTGGCCCAGGCCTGCCAACCTCAGGAAGGTGAGAGGCAGGAAGAGTTGGGCCACCCTGGCCGGGTGGTGACTTCGAAACTAGCCTGGGCTACAGTATGAGGCTGTCGGAAACACAGGGTGGAAGTTGAAAGAAAGGAAAGAGAACCAATCGTGTGCACACCTGTCTTCCCAGCACCCCAGAGACTGAGGCAGGGGGATTATCCTTAAGGTCATCTACACACCTGTCTTCCCAGCACCCCAGAGACTGAGGCAGGGGGATTATCTCTAAGGTGGTCTGCATACCCATCTTCCCAGCACCCCAGAGACTGGGGCAGGGGGATTATCCCTAAGGTCATCTGCACACCCATCTTCCCAGCACCCCAGAGACTGAGGCAGGGGGATTATCCCTAAGGTCATCTACATACCCATCTTCCCAGCACCCCAGAGACTGAGGCAGGGGGATTATCCCTAAGGTCGTCTCAGCTACATGGCGAGTTGGGGGCCAACCTGGGCTACAGAAGACCCTGTCAAAAAAGGGAGTGATGAATTTGCCCCCAACCCCACCTGTGACAGGGTTTCTCTCTGTACCCCTGGCTGTCCCACCCACAAGTTCTTTTTTTTTTTTTTTGGTTTTTCGAGACAGGGTTTCTCTGTGGCTTTGGAGGCTGTCCTGGAACTCACTTTGTAGACCAGGCTGGCCTCGAACTCACAGAGATCTGCCTGCCTCTGCCTCCCGAGTGCTGGGATTAAAGGCGTGTGCCACCAACACCCGGCTACAAGTTCTTTCTTAGCGGGCTGTCCCCTTCCTGTTGCTTCATGGTGGCAGTTGGCCAGCTCCAGAATAAATAGACTGTGGGAACTGTGGTCCAGCCTTGGTTAGTCAGTGCACCACAGCCATTATTTTTACCTAAGAGATCCCTGCAACAGACAGGATTTATAAACCAAGTCAGCCTGGGACGCACGGATGGATACAGGCTCTGGAAGCGGCGACAGTGCTCATGGCATGTATGCCACTGGTATATTCTGGAGCCACGCTGTGCATTTGAGTGTGCATTCCAGCGTTGGGTTTATCACGACCCGAAGGCCCTCCCTCCTTTGCTATGGAGAGCTTGAAACCTGACCGACACGAGGCCGGTAAGAGACCCTGCCTCAAACAAGAGAGAGAGCCAGCGAGGAATGACACTTGAGGTTGTCCACTTGTCTTAGTTAGGGTTTTCGTTTCTGTGAATGGATACCATGACCACAGCAGCTCTTATAAAGGAAAGCATTTAATTGGGGCTGGCTTATAGCTTCAGAGATCCAGTCCATTGTCATCATGATGGGAGACATGGCGGCAGACAGGGTGCTGGAGAAGGAGCTGAGAGGTCCACATCTTGGTCAGCAGGCAGCAGAAGGACACTGAGGCTCACTAGGCCCAGCTTGAGCACGTGAGACCTCAAAGCCCACCTCCAGAGGACACATTTCCTCCAACAAGGCCACACCTCCTAATAGAGCCACTCCCTAAGCCACTCCATTTAAACCTTCTCTGATCCCCACACATAGACACACAGGCACAAAAATGAACCAAGCGACTGCTTTTGCCTTAGTTTATCACCAGCAGGCTACCCAGGAAAAAGCCTAATATTTTTACAGTGATTTCATGAACCATAGCTTGCAGTTGGAGAAGATGGCTTTGAGGATGAAACATCTGATTTGCCACAGGGTCTGGCTCATAGCCCAAGCTAGCGTCTAACTCAAGATCCTCCTGCCTCAGTTTCCCAATTGCTAGAATAGCAGGTGATGCCACTGTACTGGTCTTCTATTTTTTATTTTCTTTTTTTGTAGGGAGGTTTCCAGACAGGATTTCTCTGTATAGCTCTGGCTGTCCTAGAACTCACTCTGTAGACTGGCCTGGTCTACATAGCCAGTTTCAGGACAGCCAAGGCTCTGTAAAGAGACCCTATCTCAAAGAAATAAAAAATTAAAAAATAAATATTTTAAATTGTGTGTGTGTGCGCGCACGTGCGTGCGTGCGTGTGTGCGTGTGTGTGTGCGCGTGTGTGTGCCTGTGTGTGTGTATGCTTGCATGTGAGCATGGGTGCTCCGTAAGCCAGAAGTGTCTGAACCTCCGGAGCTGGATGTAAGGATGGCCATCGGTTGCCTGACTTCCGTGCTGGCAGCAGAACTCAGGTCCTTCGCAGAGAGCACTGAAATGGTCTGAGACCATGGTGCCTAGGAGGAGGGTGACTTGCAAAGACCGTGAGGCGAGAAAGCATCGCCTGTTGGGAAATGGCTGGTAATGTGGAAGGAGCCAGAACCCAGGCCATGTAAGGATGGAGCCAGGGCCAAATCAGAAGCAACTGCTTTATCGGAGAGCACGGGGCCGGTGGACCCTGCTTGAGTGGTGGTGTCACAGCATGACATCAGCCGTCAGCTGGGGCACCTGGCTAATGTATGGACAGCCAAGGGCCAAGCAGAAAGCAGAGATAAGGGTGGGGAAGAGCTGGCTTCAGTGGGATGCAGGGTGACCTTGGGAGTCATACTACTAGTTTGCACCTGTTTGCACTGGCCTGCTGGCTTTGAGTTCTCTCAGTGCTTAGGGCTCCAGGCTCATAGGGACTCTACTTCTT